GGCGCAAAGGCGCCCCCCTCTCTATCAACGCCCAAACCCGAAGCTTAGGCGTCGGGCACTTAGGCGCCGAGACCTTGGGGTGCTTTGGCTCCATATACACAATAGAGCACAAGGAGTGACGACACATCTCTCAGGAGTTGTAGCTTATCTCGAGTCATTAAATGTCTCATTATGTTATCGCACTGTTGTTTGGGTCATTCTAGTTTCCAATATTTAAAAAAATTGTATCCGTGGATGTTTTTTAATAAAAATTTTCTAATTTTAATTGTAAGACGTGTCAGTTAGCCAAACATCATCAGATTTATTACTCACCCCACATTTACACACCTTCCGCTTTTTTTCATTCACAATGATCTTTGAGGACCCCCTTGCACTCCTAATTACACTAATAAATGGTGATTTCGTATTTTGATTGTGACCACACTTGGATAACGTGGGTCTACATTTTAAAAGACGAATCGGAGGTTGTTGTCTCCTTTTAAAACTCGTACACCTTCATTTTAACTCAATTCAAAACTCTTATTCAGGTCATTCAAATCGACAATGGTCTTGAGTTTTTTAACTCTATTTTGAATGAAATCTTTATGAGTAAGAGCATCCTCCATCATAGCTCGTGTACGGACACATTTCAACAAAATGAGATAGTCGAGAGGAAAAATTCTCATCTCTTCGATGTTTCTTACTCAATTATGTTTCAATCTTTTGTCCCGAAACGATTTTGGAACAATCTAATTCTCACCGCCACTTCTCATAAATAGGGTCCCCTATAAAATTTATAAGTTCATAACTCCCTTAACCGTCTTGATGACATACTTCCCTGTCAATCGGATTTTCTCCACCTTATACCCTAAGATTTTTGGGTCTACTGCTTTTGTTTGGAACACTACCCCCAATTAGAGTAAAATTGATCCAAGATCCATAAAATATGTTTTCTTTGGGTACTCCACTTAAAAGGGGTATCGGTGCTTGATCCTACTACTAACAAAATCTATGTGAGTGGTGATGTCTCCTTCTTTGAAAGTGTTCCCTATTTTTCCAGCTCTGCTCTATGTGAGGAGAAACTTGGGTTTTTAGACACTATCCCTTATCCTACCCCTTTGGATTTTCCATTCATTGTTTATGCCACTGAGGAGTCCCCCCTCCTTGTTTCTGCCACTAAGGAGTCGCATGTTCCAGTGAGTGCACCATCTCCTTCTCCCACTATTCATGTCTACACTCAGCCCACTCGTTCCAAGACTCTTACTCTTGAACCCACTATCTCTTTACAAGACCTTTACTCCAATCCGGGCGACATCCTCAGCACGATCTCTCCTCCAAATGCGAAGGTGAGTTCTCCGAGTAAGGTATGCAATCAGACATGCTCCCTCTATTCTATGGCAAAATATTTCTTTATCCGTAGTTTATCGCCGATCTACAGAGCATTTGTTACTGCCCCGACGAACCGTCAGATCCCAGCTACTATTGAGATTGCTCTTGTTGATCCAGTTTGGAAAATGGAAGTAATGGAGGAGATGAATGCACTTCAGCGAAACCATACGTGGGATGTCGTTGATCTTCCTTAGAGTAAGAAAGTTGTGGGGTGTAGATGAATTTTCAGCACCAAGTTCAAAACTGATTGATCCTTTGAACGCAACAAGCACGGTCGGTGGAACAAGCACGGTTGGTGGCCTAAGGGTAATCATAGACCTACGGAGTTGACTATGAAGAGACATTTGCTACAATGGTCAAGTTAAACACTATTCGGGTCATGTTGTTCCTTGAGGTGAATCTGGATTGGCTTTTATTTTAACTTGACATATGGAGAGCTTACAAAAGAGGTATACATGTCTCTCCCTCCCAGCTTTGACTCTACTGCCTCCAAAGGGCTAGTGTGCAGGCTGCGAAAGTACCTATATGAGCTAAAGCAGTCTCCAAAAGCCTAGTTCGACAAGTTCACAAAGGTGTTTGTGTGTCATGGTTTTACTCAAGCTCAACCAGATCACTCTCTCTTCAAACATTCTTCCAATGGTCATATAGCTATCCTGATTGTCTATGTTGACGATGTTGTTCTTACAAGAAACAATCTCTCAACATTGGAATCCTTGAAAGACATCCTTGCCAAGTCCTTTTAAAATAAAAGACTTGGCATCTCTCCGATACTTCTTAGACATGGAAGTGACTCAATCATCTTGAGACATTTTTTTATATCAACGCAAATATGTGGTTGATCTTTTGACAAAGAAGACTCTTCTTCTGTGCAAATCTGTAGTTGTATTCATGGATCCCAATGAAAAATTATCAGATATTCTCAATATTATGCTGGTCAACAAGACTCACTACCAGCTCCTTGTGAGGAAACTCATCCACCTCGTCCATACTCGCCCCGATATATGTCACGCAATTGGTATAGTGAGTCAATTCATGCATGACCCATATGAGCATCATTTCCAAGCTACCCACCAGATTCTCCTCTATTTAAAAGATACACCAGACTCAAGTTTATTTTTCTCTCGTCACACCTCTCGGTCTATTATTGTTTATAAAGATGTTAATTGTGTCGAGTCGATTCATGATCGACGTTCCACCTTAGGGTATCACTCATTTATATTAAAAAAATATTGTCACGTGAAAAAATAAAAAGACAATTTGCGGTTGCCCAAAGCAGTGCTAAAGCTGAATTTCAGTCTATGTCCTTGGGGATTTGTGAAGCTCTCTAGTTACGCATCATGTTTAGTGAATTTTTATGTCAACTTCTGTCCCACTGCAGCTATTTTGTAATAATAGGGCGGTTATCAGTATTGCGCACAATCCAGTCCAGCATGATCGTACGAAACATGTAGAGATTGATAGAAACTTTATAAAGGAAAAGATTGAGTCCGGGGAGATTTTTATTTTTTTTGTGCCCTTTAGTGGTCAATTAACATATATCCTCACTAAAAATTTTCGTTGTTCTTTGTTTGATGACTTCAAATCTAAGTTGAACATGATTGACATCTATGCTTCAACTTGAGGGGGAGTATAAATTTATTAAGTTTATTTGCTTTCCATAACCGTTATTATTTATTAATTCTCCTTGTTTTGTATTATGTAGTTTCCTTTTTATCTATATTCTATTTTTATTTCTATGATTGTATTTTTATTTTTTTATTTTTTTGAGTCCATTATAATTGGATTTAAATATCCATCTAAAATACGTTGCCTTGATCACCAATTTAACAAAAGAGAAATTGTTTTCTTTCAAAAATTCATAAACTACATGCTTTTGAGTAGGGGTGTAAACGAACCGAACACGAACGAACAAAGCTTGTGTTCGTGTTCGGTTCGTTTAAAATTTAGTTTGTTTGAAATAAGCTCGTGTTCGTTTCTTAACGAACGAGACGAACACGAACCGAACACGAGCTGTTCGCGAACGACGAGCCAGTTTGACATCCCTAATATTAATATATAAAAATAATTTATATATTAATTATATAACTTATATTATATAAATATTCAATATCTATATTAGTATATTACTACTATAGTATATTAATATATTATTATTATTATTTTATTATATATTATAATTTATTAAATTTAATGTTTTAAAATATAATAAATTTTATATATATAATTAATTTATATTATTTTATATTATTTTATATTTCAAACAATAACGATTCGAACACGAACGAACGCATCACTGTTCGTGTTTGGTTCGTTTAACTAACCGAACGAAAAAAATTTGTTCGCGTTTGTCTCGTTTACTTATCCTAGTTACGCATCATGTTTAGTGAATTTTGTATGTCAACTTCTGTCACACTGCAGCTATTTTGTGATAATAAGGCGGCTATCAGTATTGCGCACAATCCAGTCCACCATGATCGTACGAAACATGTAGAGATTGACAGAAACTTCATGAAGGAAAAGATCGAGTCCGGGGAGATTTGTATTTTTGTTGTGCCCTTTATTGGTCAATTAACATATATCCTCACTAAAAATCTTTGTTGTTCTTTGTTCAATGACTTCAAATCTAAGTTGAACATGATTGACATCTATGCTTCAACTTGAGGGGGAGTATAAATTTATTAAGTTTATTTGCTTTCCATAACCGTTATTATTTATTAATTCTCCTTATTTATATTATGTAGTTTCCTTTTTTTATCTATATTCTATTTCTATTTATGTGATTGTATTTTTATTTTTTTCTTTATTTGAGTCCACTATAATTTGATTTAAATATCCCTATGAAATATGTTGCCTTTATCACCAATTTAACAAGGAGAAATTGTTTTCTTTCAAAAATTCATAAACTACATGCTTTTGAGCATCTATATATAGCCTTTTCATCTCCATAGGCTAATAAATGCGTTCCGTAACAGATCAACTTAATCCATATTTAAATTGCAATCTTTATTGATAAAATTATTTCCAACCGAATTTAAGATTTCCCTACTGTCCAAAATAGCTGGATGGGGTAGAAAAGCCATGAGAAAGCCTCAGTATTCACAATAATTAAATGTTACAAGAAATACAATCTGAGCCCCCCTGACCACATATTCTCAGGGAGAAGAAACCCATAATCGAACCTGCAGGAAAAAAATGTAACAGGATAATAGCCAAGCTGTAAAACTTGTCAGCACGCTGAACCTTCTAGAAATCGTTATGGCTTCCCTTAGGCTGTGGCAAACCATAACTGTTAGTGAAGGGTGAAGTTGCCAATTAGTTTTGCCTTCAATTTTTTTTTTTCCTTTTTTTTTTTCAATCAAGTTTATGGTTTTAAGAATTGAAGCTTGAACTAATCATGTCTTAGTTTATAGAACATCGTGAACAACATTTTTTGACAAAACTCCAAAGCTACTCTTGAATTTATATCGTTTACATGCCAAAGCCATGTAGAGTTCAATTTGTCATAAATATACAAAAGTTTGAACAAGTACTCAGGCTTCTTTGAATGCATGGGTACTCTAATCCTTGTTGTATTTTTTATGCTGTCGGAAAATTTCAAGAAAGCTGATGTGCGTCTAATTTCTTTTTTCAAGGTTATTGACAAGAAGAGAGACAGAAATAGCAGTCATTACGCATAGTGGATTTTTGTTTCATACTTTAAGAAGATTTGGTAAAGATTTTCATCCACTAATCAAAGATGAAATCTGCAAACAGTAAGTTTGAAAAATCCTTTCATTTTCATTTCATTGTAAAATGTACCAATTTTTATTGGCTCGCTAAAATACTATGCACAAAAAGATTGATTTGAAGCAAACTATCAAATTCACTCAAATTAACTTGAATCAAAGATAAGGATCAAGAAAATTTCAAGCTGCAATTGCGAGCCTACACATTCCCGGTTACCTTATTGTCAACTTATAGTAGAAACTAATCTCATGATCAGGATAAAGGAAGTTCATAACCATTAAATTCTAAACTTTATTCATTGAAGCATTCATGTACAATTATATTTCTTTTATTGTTTCAAAGACTGTTTCATTAGACCGAATGTTGTCTTACGTATAATTGAAATATAGATCTGGATTTTATTTCATTTCAAGTTTTAAAAGCATTAGTTTTGTAAATATTTAATGTCAATTCATGTAAAGGTTTTGCAAGTGGCTTTATTTGCATACACCTCTAACTTATTCTTGATCAACATGAAGCAAACTAGATTTCAGCAAGGAAGAAAGAATAAAGGAAGCCAATTGCATTATTTAACACAATGCAAATATGAAGCAAACTATATTTCAGCAAGGAAGAAAGAACAAAGTTAAATTATATAGCTATATGGGTAATTTATATAGGCTTTGTTGGGTGCTTCTCATTATGAATAATCATGACTAAAATGAATAAGAGAGAGATTTATGAAATCATAAAAAGTGTTTTGAAATTTCAGTGGGAGTCAGTGAGCTAAGTAGACTAGATTAAATAGAAGCTTTGAAAAATTCATTTTTTTACTATGAACTTTATATGACAATCGTGCAAAAAAGTGGCACTGAAATGTTTAATCTTAAAGACGGCTGGAGAATTGGAGAAGATTTTATATCACTGTGCCGAATGGGAGAAAATGTTAGACATTGTGTGTGTAGGATGCCCTTAGTTGCAAATATATGAATTAAATTGTAATTAAACTTATTGCACATTGTCAATGATCAATAT